TATTGGTACTAATCAAGATTTAAACCAAGTATTTTCTTTGCATTTATTTTCTGCACAAAATATATTGTTGGATTAAAAATGTTGCAAGATATTATAGAGAATAAACACAACCAAAAGAATACACGACGGCATAACGATTCATTTGAATTAACATCTATGTATGGGTTAGTAAGTATTTGTTCAACTTCCTCAGAAGTTAATCCATACGATTTTTTTGGGTCACCAAGTCCTTTATCTTGTAAAATTCTCATTTTTCCATCCAGCGTACGAAGAGCACGGGAAAATTTATAACGATCCCAAATTTTTATCGATGGAATAACACTGTGTTCTTTGAGGTATCAGTTAATAGCACTATAACAATTGTGAACTGACTCCACCTTATAATCAGAACCATCCTCTTTCTTTAACCATGTTATGAATTGACACAAGTAGGTTTCAAGTTCACTAATATTATCGACTAATTTGATAGTTTGAGTTTTACCACAACTTTTATTAAATCGGTCTAGTGTTCTAATCCACTTTGTCGTATTTCTTTCAGTATTCGTTACAAGCGATGCATCTTGTAATTGGTTTATTTCATCTTGCGTTGGAAGTTGCGAAGCCAAATTAAAATTCATTTTTTTTTTTTTAATACAATGCAAATTCAGTTTCTCGTAAAGGAAAGAGTTCAATGAAGAAAGTAAACGAATTATGTAGTTGTTATAAATATATATATATATTTTTTTTTTACACAATACGAATTCCGGTTTTGTTAAATGTGAGAAAGATTTTGGAAAAGAAAGTGAGCGAAAATGTAAACAATGATTAGAAAGTGATCATATATATATAAAAAAGGTCGGTGCTTATATCAGAAGCATTGGATAACCGTGTTATCAGTTAAATTGCAAACATCAAATCTGATTATCGTCGGGATTTATAACGCGGAGCCCATGTCGTGAAGTGGCACGGGCTCCGCATTATATCCCAACGATAATCAGTTATCGTCTACAACATAACCGATAACAAGTACATATTAATCTATCTAATAAACTTCACTTATTTTGTGTATAATATTCAAGATCTGTATCTACTGTATATATTAAAAATAAATATTTCGAATATTAGTTAACGTAGTGATTGGACCGTTCCGATCGCTATTTCAATGACAATTAATGCTTAAATACTAATATTAGTTCATTTAAATATTTTAGTAATATTATATGAAATATGCTTATTTATTACTGTATGACATATAAGTAAATCTAGATTAATACTATTTTGTATTATTTCTATTCTAAATTTTAGATTATTATAAATTTAACGTAAAATTCTAAAGCTTAGGAAGTGTGCATTTAGTATTATTTTTCACACTTGAGACAAAATTGAAATTTGTTTAAAGAAAACATACAATATATAATAGAGTGTAATTATGTAAAAGCCTGACTATAATAGATTTGATAAATATTTACTTCTAACAATTCTCGATTGTTAAAATAATTCAATTTTATTTTATTTTAACCAACAATTACATTATAATTAAAATGTTAATATGATAATTTTTAATTTTATTTTAATAGCCACCTAATTTTTATTCACAATTTTAGATGACACCCATAAAAAAAAAATAATATTTTGAGCCATTTATCTCCAAATATTAATTTAAAAAATAAGATTCTTTTTTCCAATTCTTTTATTAAAAAATATTTATAAGTTAATGCTTACAGATATCTAGTCAACCATATTATATAATTATAACACTAACCTTAATATCAAAGATTCGCCAAACTTGGGAGCTTCGTGGTTAGCCTCAACATTATTTAGGAGACTTTTTAGAAATTGGTCATAATTTGTTTCTCTCATCAAATATCTCGCAGTGAGGCCTGATTCTACAAGAATAGATGCCGGGCAATGTGTTATATTGAGTAATTCAATAAGCCTCCATGTTCCTACCCAATATCTTTGTTCATGCCTTTTACTAATTCTTAAAATCGATTTGACCTTTTCTTTCACAAAACCACGCAGGGTTTTGTGAGTTGGATACCTATTCTTACCTCATTCATACTCTTCTGCCAGAATTACGAGCAATATTAAGTATGCGCCCCTAAGCTCATACAACAATTTTAGCATTTTTTCTTCGATTTCTGTCTTTGTAGACTTAAGTTGACCATACTGTGAAGCCAATTCTTTAAAATAATTCTCCAATGATTCTATATTGGGCGAATAAGAAGGTAATGGTGGAAAAGAAAAATTAATAGCATTGATATCATTAAAAAGGTGACTAAAATTTGTGATCAGAAGATCTTCTATTGATCTGTTATTTGAAAAAAGTTTATCGCCATACACTATCAATTAATTTTTTTGTTCAATTTCAAAGTTATTTTTTAAGAGTCGTGCCTTATTTTTTCAATTTCATTAATGGTAGCTGTGGAATTTATTTTAAAAACATTAACTTTAAACTTTCAAATAAATTATTTTTGCGATAACTTACTGCTTATTTGCATTTCTTCGGTTACATCATTTGTATCTGATAACGTTGATTCATCTTCTAGTTATTAATAGAAGATATATCAATTTAATAATTTTAACTACGCTAAATTTGAAAATGACGGTTTGTGACCATCGGAGTTAGCTGCGGATGAAGAGGTGTACTGTATTTGTGTTTTTTCTTTTTTGTTATATTTATTTATTTGGACTTTTCACTTTCTTTTTTTTGATTTCTTTAAAAAATTTTTTCTTGTAAATATGAATTATTTTATAAATTTAATCAAGGTTTCTTACCAATTTCTAATACACAAAGGTTTACTGTTCTTTTCCAGGAGCAGTAAATCATCAGACTGTTCCTTGAATTTTGTGCTAAGTTAGGAATATTCAAATATTAAGTTTTTGAAAGAACAATTTATACCTGTTAATCGTTGGCTTCTACTTGAATTTCAGATAGTTGTTCATTAACTTTCGATGATTCACTATTATCATAGAAAGGCTAGGCAAAAAATTAATAATTTTAAAAAATATGAATTGTATTAAATTATTTATTGGCTTAGAAAGCATATTATTCGCGTTTCTAATTAAAGATAGCAATTTTACTTAAAGTATATGATCTTAATACACTGATAAAAAAGTTTTCATTTTGAGATTATCATATCCGTTGATGCAGTCTGGTTCAGGATGTGTTTCAGGTTTTTAG